CGTTTCTGTAAATGCTGACAGCCCCGTCGCTGTTACTTCGACATCAGCTTTTAATTGTTTCTGTGGTTAAATCGTGTCTACAGACGCTGGGAATGACTCGACACACATTCACTATCTCAGTAAGTCTCTTCTCAGAAGACTGGAGCTTCTGTGTATGTGTGCTGTGGTTAAGAACAAATTTGGTGTCTTGGCTTTGACACAGCCAGTTAAATAGATGGCTTCCTAGTGATTTCCTGCAAAACCACATTGGTGACAAGTGTACGTGTAAGCCGCAAATGACACTCTCCCATAGACACACACATAATTATGCATCCCTAGACTAATCTTAACAACAACTGAACAGTTGACAGCAGTGTACCAGTTCCCTGCCAACAGTGGAGTATGCATTTTTGAGTGCTATAAACAAGTGGACTGGAAGAAAGAACTGTTTAGATGAACCATAAACGTGACTTGCGAAGTGTATAGATACAGATGCACTCGTGCTACCTTCATCACACAGAGTGTGTGTTGAGGAGGGGCTTCAATTAAGCTCCTAATCAATGATAACAAAAGCTTTGGTGTGTTGCTATAGTGAATGTAAAAAGTCATTTGAGATCAATCTCCATCTCATTACACAGCCAATTAAAAGCTATATATAAAGCTAAGCTCTAGTAATTTTTTCAGATGCACAAAAAGCATTTCAAAATAACTGTCTATGCAAATCAAACTGTATCCTATATAATTTGAGAATAACTGCGAGCTAGGGCTGTGCCATATCATCCTGTTCACGGTAATACTGGTATAATGTTAGGCAATGATAAGAAAATGAAATATCACGATAGAATATGGGTAAAACGTGCATGCGCAGTGCCTTTGTTTTCATACACACATGGTGGAAAAAGCATGGCGGCGATGGAGAATAAAGGCGAAAGCGGATCGTTGAATGAAACAGATGAATCAGAATTGGTTTGTAAACATGATGTAACTTCAGTGGTGTGGAACTGGTTTGGCTTTTGTCCGGCAGATGCACACCAAAGCACTTTTTTTGTTAGAGCATGCAAGCGGGCCGCCGTTATTACCGAACCGATTTTATGTGGTACGCGACGCTCAAAAATCTTTCCAAAAAAAAAAAAAAGTTTTAGTACGACTTTGGTAAGCTACGAAGGCGCACCACTTGATGGATTGCTGGGGCATTACGGCTACCGTAGTCAGGAGCCTCGCGGAGTGATACGTACTGTGCTTCAACATAATATTACCGCATTGTGTGTGTTTATAAGGTTGATCTGATATCCTCGTGTTGGTGTTGTTCCCAGATCATCATACTAAATGTTGTTCCAGGATCAACATTGCAAGTGACCAATCAGATGTTGTGACGTCATACTTTTGCGACTTCGGGAAAAACCGGCGAATGGCTTGGCGCGCAAAGGAATAACGTCACAACAATGTGATTGGTCACTTGCAATGTTGAACCTGGAACAACATTTTCATGATGGTCTGGGAACAACACCAACAAGGATATTACGTATCATGTGTTTATAACTCTTTTGAAGTTTTGTGGATATTATACATGGTTATGCTGAGGATATGTCGCCATTTCCACTGGAAATGCCTTTTGGTTAAACTGTCAGCAAGGAATTTGCATTTGCACTGTTAAATTTTTATATAACTTTAATGCACATAAAAAAACAGCTGCTTGTTTAAGTGAAAATACATTGGGGGTTTTTTTGGGGGGGGTGTTGCACTAATAAAGTTGTGGAGTTGTTAATTATTTTGTCTCGAGTCAATTATATCGTTATCGCAAATTTTCAAATATATATCGTTATGAATATTTTTGGCCATATTGCCCTGTCCTACTGCGAGCTGTTAATTCCACGAGTCTAGATTTGTAACTTTGCCATTTATGAAAGGTTGCTACACAAAGCAAAGTAAAACAACATTTATAATGGGATTGGGCAATAAGGAAAATGTAAGATGTCTTATATTAAAAATGAACTGAAATATAATGCAATAAAAACATAATTTCATAGACCTCGTTTAATGCTAGTTCCTTTTCAGTTAGGATCTGCCACAAATTTTAGGAAAGTTGAACAATTCTCCATATTTCACAAGATAAATTGTGAATGAGATTCTAAAAATAAAAATCACCCTAATTAGCACTGACAGGTCAAACTGATAACTAGCAAAAACATATAAAAAAAGGAATTAAAGAAAAAAAAACCCCCAGCAATTTCAATTCAATTTAATTAAAGGTGTTTCAGGAGTTTTTAAATGTGATTTCTATCCAAAAGGTTATTAATGAAAATTAACAGTATAGATCTTAAGTATGTGCCAAAAAAATTGAAGAGAAAGGCACAAACATGTAAAATGCTTTAAAACAGATGTTTTCTGAGGTAGCAGAACATTTAACATAGTTTTGTGGTGGATCTTTACATGTCATATTTAGGGAGAAACAAAACCTTTGTTTGTTTACAATATAAACTTCAAACAGCAGTTTTAATTTCTGCTGTGTCACTGTAGTGCTAAAAAAAAAAATAATAATAATAATAATTTTTTACTCCATGAGCACAGTTTTAAAGCTGTGCCAGGTGATCACATAAAAGGACGTTGCTTTCCAATAATGTTGCTTTCACTCCCAAATAAGTGCGAACATTTGTGCATGGCTCAACAAATCCGGCCTCCGCATAGTTTAAAATTTTTACAAAATAATTTACTGGCTTAAATGTTAGCGTCAATTAATAGAGGATCACAGCATAAACTGGGCCCAGAATGACAAGATGCAAAAATGCCACATTAACAAGCTTTTCGACTTCGCCTATACAATGAGTGACCACCTAGTTTGTGTCCAGTGTTAAAGTTGTTCCAACACACCTTTTCTTTAATCAAAAATGAATACTTCAATGCAATTTAAAACAAAACAAACAAAAAAAAAAAAATCAGTGCCAGAGAAATATCCCGTGTGTGCCAAAAAATACTTGGGGCTCACAATTTGCATGTGCCAACACTTGATATAAAACAAACAAAAATAATAAAATAAGTGTCACTCACCTTGTTCATGTTGCCTGCTTGCTGAGCAGTACTGAGGGTAGTGTGAGCTCCCATCTGTTGCCCTCCCTGTGTGAGCGTCTCTGCCAATGCACTACCTGATCCTCCTTGTCCTGTTGCAGTTCCCTGCATTGTCTGTCCCTGGTACTGCATGCCTGTTACCCCTGCCCCACGTCCTCTCCCAGCTCCAGGTACAAGGCCACCATTCATCACTTGCCCAGGCTGCGGCTGCCCTCCCTGGTTCAGGAGTCCAGTATGGCCCTGGTTGTTGTTAATCATGGCCTGACTGAACCCAGTTGTGTTTAAGCCCATAGTTGCAGTATTGTTGTTGTTGTTCTGTCCTGCTACTCCAGTTGGGGTTCCTGCTTTTTGGGCCTGAGGGGACGGGTGGTTGTTGGGGGAGCCCTGGCCAAGAGGGCTCTTACCCAGTGGTGCTCCTAACTGTGGCCCCATGCTGCCTGGCTGAGAGCTAGCTGTGCCTATATTAGAAGTAGTACCAGCCCGAAGCAGCTCTGAGAGCTGCTTGTGCTTGGCCGCTGCATCTGGGACGGCAGAGGCACTGCCACCGCCAAGTCCTGACTGAGTGCCTCCTGGTCCGCCAGCTCCAGGTGCTGCTCCACCATTTGAAGGCATCCCGCCCATCAGGCTAATATCACCTCCATTGGGGATCAACTCATCTGGAAGGTCATTCTCCAAATCGTCCCAGGAGAGTGACCCAAGATCTATGAGAAGGGATAGAGAAGCAAAATGTCACAAAATGTTTTATACAACCATGTGACTCAGTGCCAAGCATTCATTCTCCTCTGCTTCAAATAAGCCTGTACTCAAATCACTGAGTACCAGAGCATCTAGATCTTCTTATCTACTGCTAGCAACTTATTCTACAATGCAACACATGACACTGGGAAGATTTTTTTTCTACCTTTTAACAGTTTTGAGTCCCCACCATAAACATTCCAACCACAGCAGAAAAACAGCCAGCATGTAGGGCTGCTCGATTATGGCAAAAATGATAATCACGATTATTTTCACTGAAATTGAGATCTCGATTATTTGACGATATTTATTTAACAATAACAATGTATTGAATAATGACTTTAAAGCTTGTCAAAAAATAATATAAAATAGTGTGCAAATACTGCTAAAAGTGCAAATGTTTGCAATATAAAAAAATAAATGAAAAATGTAAACATCTATGTTTAGTGAACTTTGCAGTGTTGCTCTGTGGTACAGCTACGACACTGTAGCAAAGTTTACACACTATGTCTACTTGATCCACGTCCGACTCCGCGAACCCATAAAGTCACTCTCCTCTCCAGATAACTTCTGCTTAGCTTTCAGAGCTTCCCTCGGGTCCTCTTAATCAGTAGGCCCCCCAACCCCCGGGCCTCGGACCGGTACGTGAGTCGTTTGGTACCGGGCCGCGAGAGTTGAGGCTCAGGTGTGAAATGTAGTTTTCAGGGTTTTTATTGGTTTTCAGCGTTATTTTGTTATCGTTTTTATCGTTAACTCTGTTTTCTTTGGTCTTTTCACGTGTGTTATGAATAAAACAAAATTTCCGGTACCAGGTTTATTTTGTTGTATTTATCCGCGACACCTTAAAGGCCGGTCCATGAAAATATTGTCGGGCATAAACCGGTCCGTGGCGCAAAAAAGGTTGGGGACCGCTGCTCTTAATTGTTGTGACACGTGTTCGAAATGCAGAGAGGTGCGCTCGATTTGCCACATGGAGCAGTGCGAGAGTAGAGCACGAGGGAGGGGCTAATAATCGGCTCAGTCATTTTTAATGATCGCTGAAAGCCCAGATCGTAATCGAGATTAAAATTCGATTGAGCAGCCCTACCAGCATGGTAATAAAACTTTGTAACCATTTTTTCAGTTATAGTTTTCATTTTTATGAGAATTAGAGGCATTTGCTTATCAAATGATCAGAAAGGGGGGGGGAAAAAACGTGATTTTTATCAAATAACAGATTCAATACATTTAGTTAATGGACTGTAGTCACCACCCAAAGGCTGAGCCATGAAAAATCCTGCTGTGTTTGAAAAAAGAAAAAAAGGGCTCTTACTCCTCAGTTGACCCTTGGTCTCAGTCCAAGTGTTCACAAACATTCTAATTATGAAATATTAATGAGCCAACATGCTAAATGCTGCTGCCTTGGCCTTGTCCCACTGTGGCCTTGTCCCTTGCAGTGCAAGACAAAATAAGCATAAAGCGTGATAAAGCATCGCTACTGGCTGACAAACACAGTGTGACAAGAGAATCCAGCAGCACTCGGGGTTCCTGCTGGGTGGCGTAGGAATATTTGTGTCACACCATCCAGAGGTGTGAGCATAATGGTGAGAGCCTAGGGAGCCACGATTTGTTTGAGAATTAGTGATTAAGATGGTGACAAAAGCACAGGAGCTGTGCATGCCTTACAGCTTTGAATCACCAAGAAGAATCAACTCTCTGGACAAACTGAAACAAGATCACTTTCCACAGCCTTGATCACGAGTTCACCTAACGGCACAAAATCACCAAAGAAACAAGCTTTGAACACTGCAGCTCTCCGTTTTCATTTCCCCTCTGTAAGTGACATTAACTTGCCTATTCAGTACAACGTGCCTGACGAGAGTAGAAATATTACCTGAAATCTTATTTGGCTAACTTGTTTCTTCAAAAGCATGTTGTGGAGCGGTTTGTTGGTCTTCTGTAAAGAGTGGAGGACATAACTGGAATGTATGCAACTGACAATTTCTTCCACAAAAGCGCAAATTTACTGAATTTGTGCAACTGAAAGTAATGAAGCCAAGAAATGTCACTGTATGAAAGGCGCTGTTAAGCAAATCACTTTTCAGTATAAGACGAACAAGACCTTAATGCTACAGGACTGAGCACTGCTGCTGGATGTCTTCATTGAGATTCAGTCAGGATCCCGACTTTAATGAGGGCACTTGGCCTACACACTTCCCTGAGTAAACACAGGCTTGCAGATCTCCCTTGCTAGCTCGCTGTCTGTCCCTGGCATCAGGCACGCAGGTGCTCCATGTGGAGGAAGCTTGTTTGAGGCTGAAGGGACAATCCATCTTTTCCTCTCTCACTCCTCTCAGCCCATGCCATCTATCAGGCAGGCACATGGATGCTCTCCAAGCAGCTGTATTCACTTCAACTACATACGCTAAGGCCTGGCATTGCATTTTTCATTTCAAAATGGAAATCTAAACACACCGTAACCTTGCCCTTAAGCGTGTTGGCTGGATACCAAAAATGCAAAGCAATGTTTTGGTTGGGTATGGCCACATGCAGTCTGGGGAACCCCAACCGTAAGGAGGGGGGAAGGTGGGCATTAACCGTTTTAACATATGCACTGCAGCCCTGAAGTTTTCTTCAGACATAATCCATGGAGCTGTATGTAGGAATGTGAAAGTTTAAATCGGACCTTACAATAAAAGCTCCCTTGGACAGAGTCTGCATAAAGTTGAACCAGTGTGCGAATTGATGTGATAACCATCCGGAGAATTCTCATCGAAAAATTCACATGGGAACGTCGATTACATTTCACTTTCCATATCATTTCACTGTCTCAAAGGCAGAAGAAAAACATCCACGTGTAAAGAAGGGTCACTTACATGAGTGCAAATATGAACACAAAAACACGTAACTCGGGAAACAATGTGTGATTTACTCAAAAGTGGATACACACAAATCAGTGTGTCAACTTTTCACATAGTCGTTCATAAAGCTCCTTTACACCCTCCCATAGCTGACTTTATCACTCTCTCCCCCGCCCCCCTTTGGCCACTGTCTTGAGGTGATGGCTATAAATATCTACAAAAGCAGCCCCAGCAGTGATCCCGCCTGGAGATTTCTGTCATCTTGCCCTAAAGCCATGTGCGTCTGCTCTCAGAGGGACAGGTGCAACATTGCTACTGGCATTCTTTTAATTGTTGTTCAATATAATATGGTGGATAGCAAAACAAATCCACTTAATAGTGGAAAGGGACTCTTTTATTTTAGGTTTCCTTTCTGCAGTAATAAATCCTCCAAGAAAGTATGCCATTGCAACAGTTGGAAAGAACAGCAGAGGAAAATTACTTCACTGAGTAAATAAATACTGATTGTGGCCAGAGACACTCAAAAAAAAAAGTCAAGAAAAGTTACAGACCTTCAGTTTAAAACATTTTTAAATCCAACAAGACTACTTCTATTACAGACAATAGTTAAACTGCAATAACTTTGTTTACAGTCCACCTTGCGAGCCTGTGCCAAATCAAAAACAGAAAATATGAAAATAACTGTTTGCTGAATTTAGTACTCAGTAGTGGTGCAACAGATCACGGTTGATCCGTAATCCGAACCAATCCCACTCCACGGTTCGGCACGCACGTGATCCAAAGATTTGAAAAAGAAGGGGAAAAAAGTATATGCATGGTGCGTGTGGTCAGTTTGTCAAGCGATAGTTATGGCCAGCGCTAGCGGTCCAAGTGGAGGAGCAGAGGAGTTTGCGGCATTTAAGCAGCCCTTTGTTCTCCAATCCGACCGGGCTAAAGCTATTTCAAAAGCTACTGGGGTGTTTAGCTGCAGACGGGAGGCCGTATTCCGTTGTGCAAAACAAGGGGTTTAAACTATGATGAACGTGCTTGAGCCACGCTATGATATCCCGTTGCGCGTCCACTTCAGTGACAAGATCGTACCCAGGCATGCATGAGCAGGAAAAGTTTAAAGTTATGGCTGAACTGTCCTACGCATCTTTTGTTGCTCAACTAAAAACAGGTGGACCTCCAGGTCAACGGAAAGCTACGTGACCGTGACCACTCATTATATCACAGCGGAGTGGTAGATATAAAGCCCTGTACTGCCCTATATTGCACCTTAATTTGTTTTTATATAATTGCTTGGAATGAGTCTTGAGTTGAATGTTTTTAATAGGTAAAAAATACTTAAAAAGTTAATAAGTAAATGTTAAAATTTTGTCTTTTTTGCTGATCCGAAAATTGGTCCGATCCGTGAGTTAAAACTGTGATCCGATCCGTGAGATTTTTGATCCGTTGCACCACTAGTACTCAGCCATATCAGAATTGTCATTTAAAGCAAAATCTGACGTGTCTTTCCTCCTTTGTATGAAAATGTGCTGGTAGCTGAAATCACCAGTTCTACATTGAAGGCAAGCACAAACATACTGAGAAAAGTAAAAAACAGCAGAGTACAGCCAAGACGATTTTAAGAGTAATAATGACACTTCATTTTATTAAATCAAATGCATTAACTAGATAGCAAGTTATCCCAAGAGGCAGTAGCAATAAGTGTGCATGCAACTAGTCAACCAGACTTTTAATGTTGCTTCCCTTGCCAAATGGTGCCAGAAAAACTCTGAAATATCTCATTTTATTTTTTGGCTTTTTAATATAGAGCGGCAGGTGATGATTGGTCAATGCTGAACTTCTATCTAAAGCACACTCAGCTTTGTCTCTGGTAGGGAGTGAATGTGGATCTGTAACAGGAAGACTTCTCTTCCCTCCCCATTTTAACAAATACCATCATCTCATCTATGGTGAACAGACCCTTTTTTCTTTTTTTTTTTTAAAAACAGACTAATTTAGCAACAGCAGTTAAGATCCATTTACACCTGCATGGAATCTGCAACTGGATACATGACATCTGACCCACAGGTTTGTTTCCTCTAGGCGGGTTGCTTTGGGGGAGATTTGATGACAACAGGGGAAACCAAGTTTTTGAAGTC